TATGTGAGTTGTTTTAAATGTCATCTGGATGTTAAATTAATGTATTTAGTATATTTTCATATTGTAGTGAAGGATTCTTTTTGTTGTTTATTTGATTTGAACAGTGAAAGGTGTGGCTATTGAGCAGATTATTGCTGTTTGAGTTTTATTTTAATTGTTTTGACATGGTACTTTATTATTTGCTGACCTTAGGTTTTGGTTGCTTGTGGCACGTTCCTGCCTCAGTTCGCGCCGAGCTGCGCTGAGGAGAGGTCTGTGTGGGGAGGCCGGAGCCCAGGAACTGCTGTGCTGAATGTATTTTTGTTTTGAACAGAATAAACCTGCCTTCCTGCTGCAAAACACCCTGGGTCCTCGACTACTGGTTCCTTTTTTTACCCACACACACAACGCAGAGTACATGCAACAGAAGAGTCGGATAGAAGCGGCTACATAGAGCAAGAAGCAGGAAATAGTTTATAAATTCATAAATTTAGAGAGTTTTACCTCTGGTTCTGGTTCTGGTTCTGTCGATAACGAACATCTTTTATCTTCACAGAGTCAGTCACTGTAAAATGAAGCAAACTTTCATTACTGTTTGGTACAACGGTTGTTAACATGCCACATTTTATGTAAATGTTTTATTTAGTGGAACTTGATAAACAGCAGCAACAATAAAAGTGTTATTTTTAACAACACTTTTTGAACTGAGTCACTAAAGATGTTATGGAAATTTATTTGAAGCTACAAGCAGACCACAAACTTCTTCACCATTTAGAGACTAAACTTTTCACCACAAAGCAAAAAATAAACTGTCAACAAGACTTTAATCACCAAAACCACAGTGAGAGGCCCACCCAGTCTGAGCTGCTGCTTATTTACCATCTGCACATAACTGCTTATTTTAATAGTTAAAGAATAACAAACCAGTAAAAATTCACATTTCTCTTTTTACGGTGCCATGTATATTATTCAGAGAGACTTTTTGTTGGTAGAGTCTTATGTACAGGAAAAAATAAGATGAAACTATTTAGTCTATTATAGTGGAAACTTTCCTTCCATCAATCAAATCAATCAATCAAATTTAATTTGTATAACACATTTCAGCAGCAAGGCATTTCAAAGTGCTTTACATAATTAAAAACAAAAACACAGTCATGCAACATTGAATAAGCAATCAAAAAATAAAAATGAATAAAATAAAATTAAAAAAAACATTAAAACCCGGAACCCTTTTCTAACCCTTTAGACTTTAGTTGAAACGGCGTCAACCTGCACTCTAACCCTAATTTAGCCATAATCAACTCTAACCAGGTGGGTTTTAAGTTGAGATTTAAAGGCTCTCAGTGTTTCAGCTGTTTTACAGTTTTCTGGAAGTTTGTTCCAAATCTGTGGTGCATAGAAACTGAATGCTGCTTCTCCTGGTTTGGTTCTGGATGCAGAGCAGAACCAGAACCAGAAGTTCTGAGGGGTCTAGACAGTTGGTACAGCAACAACAGATCTTTAATGTATTGTGGTGCTAAACCGTTCAGTGATTTATAAACTAACAGTATTTTAAAGTCTATCCTCTGAGCTACAGGGAGCCAGTGCAGGGACTTTAAATCTGGGGTTATGTGCTCCATCTTCCTGGTTTTAGTGAGAACAGCAGCAGCAGCTTCTGGATCAGCTGCAGCTGTTTGATTGATTTATTAGTCAGACCTGTGAAGACGCTGCTGCAGTAATCAATGCAGCTAAAGATAAATGCATGGATGAGTTTCTCTAGATCCTGCTGAGACATCAGTCCTCTAATCCTGGAAATTCTTCAGGGCAGAGCACAACCCACGTATTGAGGCGTTAATCTGGGGGTCGGCAACCCGCAGCTCCAGAGCCGCATGCGGCTCTTCAGCGCCGCCCTAGTGGCTCCCTGGAGCTTCTTCAAAAATGTTTGAAAATGGAAAAAGATGGTGGGTGGGAAATATCTTTTTTGTTTCAATGTGGTTTCTGTAGGAGGATAAACATGACACAATCATTCTTAAAGTTTTCAAATGCTATAAAAATGAATATTAAATTTCAACATTTCCGTCAACAAAGATTTGCATCATAGCCTGCGACACGTTTCTTTCAGCTGGGCGGGGTGAGGCAAGTGGCTGTAAACAAACCGACGGGTGTGTGGTGGGCCATGGATAGCAAAGGAGAGATTCTACAATTCTTGGTCCATTTGCATTCATTGCCAATGGATTACGTGAATATTTGCTATGTAGCAACAAGTTGTCAAATAACAAATACGGTACTTTCCAGACTATAGAGCACACCTTACTGTAAGCCGCACCTAAAATAGTTTTGGGGAAAAAATTTTGGAAACATACAAAAATAAGCCGAACCGGGCTATAAGCTGCATGGTTCAAAGCGTGGGGAAAAGTAGCGGCTTATAGTCTGAAAAATCCTGTAATGTGGAAAGACATTTCCAGGGAGGCACTACTTTAGCTGCAGTGTCAAGATTAAAGTTGCATCTCACAGGCTCGATGTTGAGAAGCTGTCCAGTGATGTCCGTAAACAGAAGTCACATTAAACGGGTAAGAACACAATCCTGTCATAGGCACATATATTTAGTAACAAAGTGACTGCTGTTATAAATTGATTAGTGATTTTTGTCAGTATATATTCTGAATGACACTTAGTGATATTATGGTGTTTAACATCCTCAGGTCAGAGGATGGTTGGTTGTGTGTCAAAAGAGGATGCTGCTATGTTTTAACATTGCACTGACTTGCTTGGCATTTGCACAGAAATCAAACTTAAACTTTATTAATTCAATTTTATATACTTTACTGTTTAATATTATAACTGCAGGTTGCGTTTTATTGCACTCTGTTGTCCAAATAAGGGGCACGTTATGCATGTTCCATTCTGTTGTTTTTGATTTCATCATTTTTTCGATCACACAGAGCCATCATTATGCAAACTGCATTTGGGAGCAATGCAGTTTCCAAAACGGAAAATATCTTTCCCTGTCGATCATCATAATAAAAATGACATCAAACATCTAATTTCTTTATTGAATTTCTTTAATTTTATCTATGCAAAAAAACATAACAGATTAAAATTGTAACGGGAGGTAAACTTAAAGCACCATTGTACAACACAGTATACGTGGTGCGTCATTCTTTCCAGGACGCACAGCAGAGAAAATAAACATTTAATCATGAGAGCTCATGAATGCATGCACTTAGTTGTTTTGATTAGACCATAAAACAGCTAATATAAATACTTAAAGCCTGTTTTGCCTTCATTATAAGCCTTAAATAAGGCTTTTAATTTTTTGCGGCTCCAGTCAGATTTGTTTTTTGGTTTTTTGGTCCAATATGGCTCTTTCAACATTGGGTTGCCAACCCCTGCCTTAGTCCTCGTGCCGGTGGTCGCAGGTTTGACTCCCAGCCTGGTGACATTTGCCGAATGTCTTCCCCCTCTCTCAATACCCTATTTCATGTCAAGCTTCTTACAAATAAAGGCCACTAAAGCAGAAAAAAAAAGACTCAACATTTTCTTGTACACAACCTCTAGTTGGGTGACCCCAAAATCGCCAGGCCTTCTTAAAAGATAGACCCACTGAGACTGCATTCTTAAAAATGTAGTCAGTGTTTTCAGCAAAGTTGAGCTGACTGTCCAGGAACAACTTGAGGTATTTAAAATTTACCACAGTTTCAACAGGTTGGCCATCAAGTGAAACTGGAACCACTTTCAGGTCTTGTTTATGACATTTAATTAGCTCTACTTCGTTAAGAAAATGAAAAGGTATGGTGTTTTGTGAGAGAATTTATCTTTTACTGTTCCAGTAATGCCAGACTTAATAATAAGTAATGAAGACTTTGTGGTATTCTGATTTAGTAATGTAATTATAATAGTTGTTACCACCCCCACGCCTCTAGAGGCAGTAGCAGGCCTGAAAATATGTGACTAAGGAGCAGATTTAGAAGTACACAAAAGTTACAGAACTTGTTAAAAACTGTGAGCTGCGCTGAAGTAAATAAAAGAGAAAAGTTCAAAAACATGCTGAGAAAAAATCCTTATAAAAAATGAAGATATATCACAGATTTAAAAAGAAAATAAAAACGGGAGACCTTGGATAATATAGGAAACAGCGCCCCCTTCACTTGGGGAGTGCAACGGTCCCATTTCCAAATAAGGTCTGAGACTGACGGCGGTCCGTTCTGCCCCTTCCTGTTTGCTGCAACCAGGTCCTTCTCTCCTGCCGAGGGTAAGTCAAGGGAAAGTTTCCTGCTGCAATATACGTTTGTTTTCTGTGTGGAAGTTGTTGTTCATGTTGAGGTCTCTAGCTTATTTTGTTTATTATTGTTTGTTAGTCTGTTATTTTGCAGTTTTGACCATTATTGTTGGTTTTATGGACAGTTTTATTGTAATCTTCCTCTTTTTTTTATTTGGCGCAAACATGCCTGTGCTAGTCCAGTGCAGCTCGGCTGAACATTGTTTTTATTTTCACATTTAGGCTGGAGTGCAGAAAGAGGGAGTGAAGAGGAGGTTGATTTGTTTTTACTCTTTTCCCCCAGGTATGTGTATTATTTTAAGTTATACTTTTTATTCCTGTTTATTTAACTCTGTCCCACTGTATTGTGTTGTTGTGGCCACCAGGTGGCGTTTTCCTCTTGTTTTTAGTTTGTTGTGATTTTTGTTAGATTTCTTGTTTTTGTTGACTTTTGTTGAATTTGGAAGAAAATGTTAGACAGCATTGTTATGTGCTGCTGTGTGGATGGAGTGCAGGGACAGAGGTGAAGAGAAGATTGATTTGTTTTTATTCTCCTCCCCAGGATAAATGATCCCATTGTGCAACATGGCTGAATGATTTCTAATTCATTGATACAACCCGTTACATGAAGACAGCAGGGGGCGCTGCCTCTGTGTCAGGAGGAGAGGCTTGGTGCCTCATCTAGACAGCTGGGGGTTAGAGGTGCCCTTTAAGGCAGATCTGACACACCTGACTGGGGTGTTTCAGTCAGGTGTCACTGACTGGGTTACAAACTGGAACCTCAGCTGCCAGTTTGATCCACAAGGTGACCAGAGTTCCTCTGTCCTGGAAGAGGATCCTGAGTCAGTGGTGTGTCCATCCCACTGGGGGGAGTGCAGTGGCTCAGATCGTCACATCGGCCCGTTTGGGTTGCAGTGCTGATCTGTGTGGATTCTCATTTCTGCAGCGGTTCTGGAGAGGAAACCCGACCTGAGCTGCCTTGGATGTTCCCTCTGTGGTCGACATCCTGAGTTTCTATTAAAAGACTTTAAAGTCCTTCAGTATAAATAAAGATTTAGCTCTTTGATAAAGTTGGACGATTCCTGTGTAAAACTCTCTGTCTCATAAAAATATTAAATATCAACATTGCTGTCTGAGAGCATTTCTGCATGAAGCACAACTAACTTCTGACCAATCAGAGGCTCTGAAATGGGTCGACTGGGTCTGGTGTCGAGTTCGGCAGACGACTCTCTGACAACAAGATGATCATTTTCATCACGTCAGTAAGAACCGATTCAGAACGCT